AATAAATATATTTGATGATGTTTAAATATGATGAGTTTAGTTTACTTCAGATACCAATAAATTATTTTGATCAGAGACTTTCAGCTTGTGATACAACTCAGGAAAAAGTTAAAGGTAACTACGTCATATTATGAAGAAAAAAATATATATTTAGCTAAAAATGTTTAATATTTAAATATTTATTATTTCTATTAACCTTGTTTATGGATATTATATTGTGTAACAATTTCAATCGAAGAGTCTGTATTTAAACCCGTTCGTAACATTGTTAATAATTATTGTACTATGTAATTTACAGTTTTATTATAAAACTTCGAAGTCCAATCAATGTTCCAATCAATAGTCTTCATTGTGTTTTTGATAATCGAGTCAGCTCCTTGTAAATAATTTGACGATTTACTAACAAATGGTAGAATCTGTAACAAAAATAACATATCAGTGAAACTTTTGATTTTTAAAAATAAAACTAGTAATTTTAATTACCTCATCTAATTCTTCTTTAGTTTTCATTTGCTTCCCTATAATTTGCACGTAAGTACCCACAGTAGCGCCTGAAAATTGGTGGCTAAAATTTTACAAATTAAAATGATTAATATTATAAACTTTCAACTTAATATTATTGTATTACTAAACTTTTAACGATAACTTACAAATCATATATATTTGAAATATTATGATACAAAAAGTCTTTTGCTATAGAAAATCCAACGTCATTGGTCGCTATGGCATTGAACACTGATGCAGAGTTTTTCTCGGAAATAATTGAATTATCAATTGACCAATTCAAATATCTAACACAAAAATAATATTTCACTGTGCTGTCTATATCACGCTAATATGATTTTAATACCTGTTTAGTAACCAAGTTTCTGAACTACATCCTAATGCTAAGAGTATATCATATTTTTGAAGCTCCAAATTGGAACGCTGATAACGTTCCCATAAAAAGTTCCATTCGTCTGCACCTCCGTATTTTATCGCTTGACAGTAAATAACTGGTCTCAGTTCTCTCGGCAAWCTAATTGGGATTACAGTTTGTATTTAGTTCAATTAAACATTGATTTAACTCACATATTATCATTATCTGGATCCGTAATTTTCATCCATTTTCTAAACAAGACCAGAGATTGTTCGGTACAGTTCTTTATTTGGTAATAACAGGCATTCATAGTCAATAGCTTTTTAAAACTTATTTTTTCAAAACTGTTATCGTCATGTTCACCTGTCATGTCTAGGAATTTCCCGTACACAGGCGACAACAAACGTTGTGTATAGTTCTGAAACCACGTTAATTTAAATTACAATAATACAATAAGTAAATACAACAGATTCATGTTCAAAATATTATAATAAAAATTAATATGGAATTTGGGACTTAAAAAAATA